TTGTAAGAAAAATGTGAGACCACCATACCAACATACAAATGAACTATGCAACACACTCTAAGTGTCGCATAGCCGTACCGCACAAACATTTGCGAAAATTTCATGAAAAGGAAGGACCGAAAAACTCGACTTGAGTTACTGGACTGTTTTCGATCGTGTGGACAGCGACACCAAAAGAGAATTTACCGATAATGAGCGACAAAAGAGTCACCATGTGAACGCTATCTTACGCTCTTTTAGCACATGCTAAGCCTCTGCCCATCCTTAACTATACATAAAACACTGTACCTCAACCTTTTAAAAGAAAAATAACTCTACAGCAGTTTACGCTTTGCTTTACATGCTTCTTTTTAATAAAAATGTCATGTGCTGGGTTCACTTTGATGTGAACAAACTCATACAAAAGCATATATGAAATAAATCTATGTGAATCAGCTATCTACCGTTTAGTCGTTGTCGAGACAGTAACGAAGACATAGGTATGTGGCTTGCGCGAAATTATTTATGATTATGAATGCGTTTTGGTGTCATGAATTACATTTTGTGATTTTGGTCATTTAGTAATCTATGCCAAATTTCGTGAAGAAACCTTGACAAATAAAAGAGTTTTCCATAGCTAAATCAGTTAAGTACAGTACACCGCACAACACACCACTTACACTGCGCTCCATACCTGGCCATTCGAACACTCCAAGATTTGGCAGAAAACATCTCGGGCAACCCAGGTGTTAAAAACACAAAGATATGCAGGCGATAGCCTGTCTGGAAGTCACAGTCTTCCACAAGCATACGACTCAATATTACAAATGATACAAGCCCTCAAAACAGCAGAGTTTCCGGTAAAAAAAAGAATACGGTGAACTACCCTAATATTTTATAAAATACACCAAATGAAAATTTGTTAGATACTAACTTCCTTAAAATCCAAAAGGAAAGTTCAACAAAAACTCTGGGTATCCAATGGAATACGATATTTGACCAGTTTTCATACACCATAGAGTCAATATCCGCCATAACAAGGCGAAAAATTTTTCCACAGAGGATAAAATTTTTCGACCCCGTAGGATGCCTTTCGCCAATTATAATTCCAGTGAAACCACTTCGTTTAGAAAAGAGGTCACAGTTCGAAGGCAATCTGAATGATATCTCACAGATACAAATCCCACGATGGTAAAATTATGCCCCAGAGCACAAAGTCGAACGGCACGGCTTCTGTGACGTATCTGAAAAGGCATATTGCGCCACTATAAATGTTCGCACATAAAACGACCACAAGCCACTTACTAGTAGTAAAAGCAAAAGTGGCAACCGTAAAAACCTTAAGTCTACCACCACTTGAACTATGTGGAGCGCTACTACTAGCCAAATTAGTATCCATGGTGCGAATGCCTTTAAACATGGCAAAATACAAATTATATATGTGGTCCGATCCCGAAATTTTACTAGCATGGTTAGAAAAACGAACACATGCTTTAAAGACGTATATTTCCAATCGAAGATCTCAAATCCTTGACCTAGTATGATCAGCGACTTGCCGACACATAGCCAGTGCTGGCCTGCCGATATGCGTACAAGAGAGTGCAAAACTCTGCACCGAATTTCATCGTACCCCCGCGCCTTCAGGGTAATCGCTTACATGCTCAAGCTAATAGAGCGACTAATAATTAATATTAAAGGAGTAACGTCAATATACTCCCAATGCGATACAGTTACGCACCTGGACTTAGAAAAATCAAAGGGCGCTCTTATCGCAATTCTCAAGCGCGCTACTTCAGCCGAAAAATATCATTACTAAGAGAATCGAAGCCGATTGATAAAAGAGCTCCTTCTTAGTACAAAATCCATTCATAGACACGAAAGGTCTACTTCGTGCGAATCGTCGGCATGCCAATTCAAGTCTAACGTATAACGAACGAACGAGTGACATAGTTATACCAGAAAAATCGCAACTTCCCACCAGATATCTTGACTATGTCCACGTGCTATTGCTATACGCAGAACATCGCCTCATGCAACAAATGCCCCTCATGAAAGGCTATGTGACTGTCTTTGTCTGTTTTACGACAAAAGCAGTGCACCTCGAGCTATGTACGAATCTGACAAAGGAGGCTTTTCTCGTGACATTCGCTCGCTTCGTCGAGCGACGCAATTTTCCGTCAAAACTGGCAAAACATTAATAAGAGCTCAAAGAGCCACAAAAAACAGTTTATGGATTTTATCAAACAAGTCTCACCTGAGATTGTACAAAAGTACGCTCCCTAAGGCATTAACTAGCAGTTTATCCCTCCAAGCGCTCTTCATATGGGTCGTTTAGAGGAATCAGTTGTAAAACGTTTCAAATCCCAGAGTAGTTGGAAACTACAAATTGAATTATGAAGAATTTGCAATATTATTAATTCGCGTTGAAGCCGTCCTCAATTCGCGGCCACTAACAACACTCTTGCAAAATCATTCAGATCTTACAGCCCTAACTCCAGGGCAATTTCTCAAAGGAGTACCCATTCTGGCCATAGCTGACCCAGGCGAAGAGGCGCTATCCTAATTATACAGATGGGTAGAATTGAAATTCTCCATCATGATTTCAGCCACCGATGGAAAGAGGAGTATATAAAGGACCTTCATAAAAGGTACGCATGGGCTTTGCAACAATTATCTGGCATATACGTATGCTACGCAGAGATGTGACTAAGGGGCTTTGTGCAAAATGTGTGGCAGGCAGCATCACACACTGCTTCCCCGCCCCCAAGGCGAGAGGTCGTTCGGCAGCCGACCCCACACATCCGCGGCACAAACAGAACGCAGCAAACCAACCGTGTGGCACAAGAAGCCAAAGAATAGAAACCCTTCTTGAGTCCCGTCCATGGCGCATCTCCTCATCTCTTTTTATATTTCGAATTTCCTTTTTATATACATATAATTACCACATCTCCCCTGGTATCCGACCGGGGAGTTATTTCTTTTACAAAAAAAAAATGTACATTTTTAAACATAAAAATGTGAAATATTTCTTATTAATATTCTCTCTGACGAGTTAGATAGCAAAAATCGATTTCTATTAGCAAAATAGAAGAGAATTAGTCGTATAAAACACAGAAATTTATTAATTGCGCATAGGTTTAAAGTCAAACGGATTATTCCAAAAGGGATAGCTTTAGTGCACTTGACACAAACCCCTTATATGCTATAGTATTATATTTCAATCTTAAAAATTAGTTTGGAGATTGTAGCGATGGCTTGGCAATAATCTCTGCCAACTTTCGTTCAGTTTGTATGCTTTCCAGGCCCGATCACAAAATATGTGGACGTCAATGGGTTAAATTCAAAGATAAAACAGTTGTTGCCATGGTCATGTTATAGAAAAACATTAACGAAGCCACCATTTTGAATGGCAAGACTCGAGGTGAAAATGTATTGCTGCCACGAGCCCCTATGATTATTACAGACGTGCCGATTGAATTTAAAAGCACTCAATTTCCATTTAGATTGAAATTCGTAATGGCGATGAAAGGCCAAACGTTGTTTGTTCCTGGTTAAGATGTGGGTACACCATGCTTTTCTACCGGACAACTTTATGTGGCATGTTCTCGCTATACTCCATTGCATTGAGAAATTAATCTTTGTTTATTTTTAATTGAAATAATTAGTAGTAGAAATATGGGCTATTTTCGATGTGCATAAAGGTAGCTATCAATAATTGGAATTTATTATATATTTCATCTTCATTCCTCTTTCAATTATAATTGCATCACCCACACAGTTAGTGTTAGTTATTTTTGAAAGTATTTCCTAAAAAAAAATATTTCATCGAAGTTATATAACGGGAGACTCAGAAAAAGTGCTGTCGGACTATAGGGAGAGGGATTTTAGTTGAGTGGGAGTCATTGGTCATGCAGGGACTCATTGCACGCAGAACATATATTTGGTATATCGGGGTCAATTCTAGATAGGTGGGAGTTTTACCTGCAACAATATCCAGAACCAAGTTGCGCATGGGCCACTATAGATTCGCGTGGCAACTCGAGCTCTACGTCTGCAATGGGTGTTGGTATGCCAAATACACCATTCACTGATAGGGAGTCGGTTAAGGTGTTAATGACTCTATTGTGAGTGGCGGTCAGTGCGTGTCTGAAGCTTGTTGCGTCTGTTATGTGATCTGAGTATTGTGAAATGTCGCCAAAGTAATCAAAACATTACCTCTTAATGTTCTTACCTCTTAGAAAGCCTTCTTCGCTTCAATGAAAGCACTGATATTAATAATATATGCCAGCTAATTAAATACATTAAATCTGCAGACGAAAAATTAATAGCGTCGAATATAAATTCTGATTTTTTTTCTAAATGTTTTTAGTTTTTAAAAACTTTGAACTTAGGTTGATATTTTGATATTACTGACATTCTACGGATATTGTTGTTGCAGATGGGTAAAAATAGTTTATCATCCATCGAAATAACTTAACAAAATTAGGTAAAAATTTAATTTCTGACATACTGTAAGTTAGTATTTTCTCAAATATAAGATTTTGAAGCTTAAAAATAATTGCAATTCGCCCAGACCTGTCCCTAGACCGAATATATTGATATATAGTGTTAGCCGATATTCTATCTAAAATAAGCAAGATTAATTCGATTATTACTAAAAATTTGGTACTTTCTCGAGTATAAAATAGTTGGAGCTCATAAATAAATGAAATTAGCTTCGGCCTCTCCCTAAAACCAATATTTCGATTCATAGTGCTAGGCGATATCTCAATAAAATTAAGCGAGAACAGTTCGATTAGTATTATGCCATTCTGTAGTAAAATGAGTGATATCGGTATATAGCTTCTCACAGCACTAATATATTGAATATAGTGAGTTAGTTAAGTAAATTTAAATACAAATATCTGGAATATAATAAAAATATATAGTAATGACACAAAGTGAGCATACGATCTGTAATTGCCATTAATAATACAATTTTATAAGAAAAGTAATAAAAATATAAGTATTAATGAACTTACATTTAACGGCAATGCAAAAAATGTATCAAAACAAGCAAGTAGAACCACCATAGCTGTGATAAAATAATAAATCGCTGCGGTCCGTTTTGATGAAAATATGGAATTACTTGCTATACTTAGTATAGAAACGAATAATCCACATATATTGGATCCTAATACAACCGCACCAGTATATTTAACCGGGTGTGTAGCAACCATTCCATATATAGTATTTTGATAAATACCTCCAGCCACTAAAAATATATATTAGGGTTGCATAAAATTTACTTAAGAACTTACTACTTACTATTTAGCAGAACAACTGTGATCATAGTAGTCCAAAAAAAGATTCCGGGCCAATTTGACGAGTCGACCATAGCTAAAATCACTGTTAGTATGAATAAGACTAATTCTAACACAATGCTGAAAACGATGCGTGTAGTTAAATCGCCTCTGAAAGTATAAAATATGCTGTAAATATATGTAAAAGGTAGTAGAAATGTATTACCCTAAATTAACAAAAATGTTCAACCAATTAAATACCACGTTAGGAATTTGTGCTGCAAAGTTATGGTACTGCAAAAAATTCGAAGCATATGCCGATGAATTTGTTGAATTTCCCAGCTTATAGTTGACAAAGTACTGGATAAATGTATACGGTTTAAGACCATTTCGGTGTGTTACATTAGTCATAATTAACTTACTTCTTTCGCTGTTATAAACATGTTCCACGGCATTAAAGTTCCAATTCCATGTACTACGAAAATGAGCAAAATGAAGTTCCATTTGTCTCTTGGAGGATCCATCTTGAATACTTTAGAAAAGAATTAATATTTACAAGTTGTTCTTATTTAAAATTATTTTATTTCAATTTTCATAATCGTTATGTTTATAAAATTATATATATAAGTTAACAAAATAAAAACTTTGTTACACAGTATAGTGTGCTATGCTTAATAATGCTCAGGAATGCAGGTTTAAAATTCGTCAAAACGGTATCACGCCACCTTTACTGCTACCTACTTAAAAAATGTCAAACTTCAATTCAAGGAATTTAATGACGCTACTAGCACGACACTAACAGTGTTAAAAGAATAAGTACCCACGCATAAAGAAAAATAAAAAGTTATTAAACTTAACTGGCGCCCAACGAATTGGACAAACACGTGTGGTAAAAACCAAAAAACATTAGGCAGGCTTAGCCTGCTGTTGGAAGTTTTTCTATCATCGTTCTCCAAGCTGATCTTCCATCATCGAATAGACCTACTGAAGCCGATCTACACAGAATTAATTGTCAATCTCTTTCCCATTCTTAAGGAAGAGAAGCGTACCTAAAATTGACCATCGAAGGAACCCTAGTAAAAACTTAAGGATAAGGATTAAACGGGACACATCCTCCTGCCATGGACGTGATAATTTAATGTAAGCCATTAGTTGTAAGCGTTATATAAATTTCAATTTTGCATTTATATAAATTCAATTACGTGAAAAGAAACTGGTTTGATTTTACAAAAAGTGTGTGCGGTAAATTTTAGTTCAATAAAAAAACCTAATTAAAAAAGAACAAGTACTTATTATAAATTAAGTGATACAGATTAGTAAAGAAAAAAAACAATTCCCATTTATATGTATATATCGTTTTCTAAAAAACATTTTTGATAAAACTTACACGTGCAAAAAAATATAGTTATTATCACATATCTATCAAAGTTCACATTCTATTTTGTTTTCTCAATTAAAAGAAAACAATTTTTTTTGATAAAATTTACACATACAGAAAAAGTATGTATGATTAGTTAACAGTAAAAATTAAAAAAAAAATTCGTATTTTATATCGTTTTCAAAATTTGACACATGCAAAGAAATGTATACATGCATACTTAAGTTCAATATAAAATAAAAGCAAGCTTAACTAACTATAGTAAAATTCTATAAAATAATTCTTATAAATTAATAAAATAACATTATTACATTTAAAATAAAAATAAAATAAAAGCAAATTTAAATAAAAAAGGGACCTCAAGTCCTTATAATAAAAAAATTAGTATCTCTGCGATTCACCACCTTCGAGGGGACCCTCCAGAGATCGGATATAATTCGAAATTAAAACAATATTAACCATTTTAGAGGCTTGAGCAGCTATAACTCACAAATATTTACAAAGGCTGCGATTCACCACCTTCGGTGGGACCCTCCGGTTCTTAATAAAAATACAACGTTCCTGCGATTCACCACCTTCGGGTTGGGCCTCTAGAGAACGGATATAATTGAAAGAAATTTAAACTTTTTCTAGGCTCATATAACACTCACTCCCTCGGGGGGACCCTCCAGAGATCGTTATACCAAACAAATCAAAAAACATCTAACAAAATTTATAGTACATTAAATAAATTATCTAAAACCTTATACGTCCACCAATAATAAATATTTCATCCGTACCCTCTTCTTCTAATCCACCAATTACTGAGCAAGTAAACGCGACACCAGAATTAGAAGCTCTGATTAGAATAGTCAGAAATGTATGCCCCACCGAGGACATCAGGCCCTCCAGACATAGTGAACTTAACTGTACAGATGAAATAATTAATAGCGAGTATAGGCTAAATATTGGTGAACTAGACGAAATTCCTGACGTAGTGACCTACCGCGATTATTGGGAATGAAAGAACCAGTAGACTTACCACATGCTTAAAAAAATATCGTCTCGTTATTGATTATAGGAAACTCAATACCGTCACCATCCCTAATCGGTATCCCATTCCCGACATCAGTAACGTACTTTCAGAGCTAGGAAAAAGTAAATTATTTTCTGTGATAGACCTTAAAAGCGGATTTCCTCAAATACCTTTAAAAGAGGATGATATAGAAAAAACGGCTTTTTCCGTAAGACACGGAAAATACGATTCAGACTACCATTTGGTCCCAAAAATGTTAATCTTTCAACGTGCACTCGACGATATTTTACGTGTCCCATTTCCAAAATATTGAAACTATATTTCGGACTTTGCAAAACGCTAATATGAAGGTGCAAGTCTGCAAATGTGAATTCTTGAAAACATAAGTCGAATTCCTTGGTTTTATTGTATCTCAAAATGGTATACGAACTAACCCAAAAAATCTAGATGCAATAAAAAACTTTTCCTGTCCCAGAACCTTAAAAGACCTTAGGTAATTTCTCGGACTGTCCGGGTTCTATCGTCGCTTCATAAAAGATTATGCCAAATTGACGAAACCTTTGACATCTCTTCTAAGGAGGGAGGAAGCACAAATACCCAAGAAACTTTCCAGTAAGAAATCCATTAACCTTACTGAAGAAGCTATCGATGCATTCCAAAAAGTAAAAAATTCTCTACTGTCAGAAGACGTTATGTTATCTTATCCCGATTAGAACAAGGAATTTCACCTAACGACGAACGCATCGAAATACGCCATTGGTGCGGTATTAACACAGGAAAATAGAGCAATAATTTGGGCTCTGAAATATCTTCGAAAAAACCTATACGTGAGTGCTAAAGTAAAGATCTTTACAGATTATCAGCCATTAACATACGCCTTATCAAATAAAAATTCTAAAATGAAGTGATGGAAAGCAAGTTTGGAAGACTATCAGTACATACTACAGTACAAACCAGGAACTACGAATAAAGTTGCAGATGCTTTACCTCGTCCACCTCTCAATTCACTTATCAACTCTATGACTGCGACACAGAACAGCGACGAAAGCTCCTCACAGAATTTAATACCATTTTCCAATGTACCGCTTAAAGTATTCAAGAACCAAATCACTCTAAATCCTTAGTCCCCTAGTCAACATCCATAAATCATATTTGAACCCATCGGTCATTAATGGTCTCAAAACAGACGAAAGAACACTAGGTATATTACAAAACATTTTTGCCCTTCAACTGATACAAAATACGGCTTATTACAATAGAAAATTAGTAATAGATTTAACAAATCAAGCCGAGCAAAATAAAGAAATTATCAACGAACATAACCGTGCCCCCGAAATAGCGAAGAAAACAAGTTGCAAATTCTAGAAAAGTTCTATTTTCCACAAATGCGAGCCAAGGTTGAAAAAATCGTAGAACAATGCAGAACATGTAAGCTTAATAAATATGACCGTCACCCATGTAAACACGCCATGCAATGTACATTAATACCTGAGTACGCTGGACATATTGTCCAAATCGATATCTACCACACTAACAAACAGCTCATTATTATCGCCATAGATAAATTTTCGAAATACGCTCTTATAAAACTAATTAAATCACGAGCGACCGAGGATTTAAAACAACCTCTAAGAGACGACATAATTTCATTAGGAATACCAAAAGTGATTATATTCGACAGTGAAAAATCATTTAATTATATTCTAATCACGTTGATGCTAACTAATCAATTCAATGTAGAGATTCACAAAATTCCACCCTACAAAAGCTGTTCAAACGGTCAAGTTGAGCGATTTCATTCCACTCTTACCGAAATAATACGTTGTCTTAAATCAGAAAATACGCATGAATCGTTTGTGGAACTCCTAGATAAATAAATTTTTAGGTACAACAACTCAATCCATTCTCTAACCTATCGAGCTCTTCTTTAGCCACAGAACAATAATTAATCCCGAACAAATAGGCAAGAAAACGTTGAGAGATTACGAGAAAAAAAAGACACCGATTTAAACCATCATAACAAAAGCAAAACGCCAATGAAGAATTACGGGATAGGTGACACAATTTATGTAAACGTAAATAAAAGATTAGGAAATAAACTAACTCCACGATATAAACAAGATAGTCGTCAAAAACTTTAACAGTACTGTCCTCACCAAATCAGGTAAAACTGTTCATTAATTTAGGCATTAAAATTAGAAAAATATGTTAAAAAAATGTTAAAAAAATTAATTTAACTATTTAAAAAACAAAAAATTTACACTTGAAATGAAAAGAGAAAATTGCTAAACATAGCTAAAGCCAATATTGTAACTTCATATATTTTAAAAAATTAAGCAACATTTAGAGTAAGGACCACTTGTAAAAAGTAAAATGAATTGTAAAATAGTTTTTTTAATAGTTTAAATATCTTAAGTAATAAATCATGTATACCTATGTACATAGTTAATAAAGAAATACACCACTTAATTGCGCAGAGGCGCATCAATCTGAGGAATGAAGTCAATCATCATATGAAATATGACACTAGTCGCACAATGGAACATTTTTATAAATAAAAGCTTGCGGTACGAAATAAGAGTTTAGAGCTTAGTCATAGTATTCCTTACGTTCAACTCTCTCAGATAAAACTTTCCAAGAACTTGGCCGTCGAACACGGACGTTCGAAACTTAGAAGGGAGAAGTTAACAAAATAAAAATTTTGTTACACAGTATACTGTGCTATGCTTAATAATGCTCGGGAATGCAGGTATAAAATTCGTCAAAAAGTATCACGCCACCTTTACTGCTACCCACTTAAAAAATGTTAATCTACAATTAAAGGAATTTAATGACGCTACTAGCACGACACTTACAGTGTGCGTGGCTGTCGACGTCTCGCGCTGCCGTCGCCGAAAATATTAAGGTTAGAATTAAGTTTCACTTTTCATTTGGCTGTTAAAGGAATAAGTACCCATGCGAAGAAAAATAAAAAATTTAATAAGTTAACTTATAATCTGAATTGGCGAAGAATTTCTTTTACAACGGTAAATATTAACTTAACACACAGATGTTTGTACACATATATATTATAAATTATTTCATTAATCTGGGAGGTTACTCTGTAAGGCGTTGCGCAAGTGAAAATAGCGCAAGCATT